AATGCAGTTTAAGTGGTTTTTAACACTAAAGCCTTTGGCCCCAGTAGCTCCATGGTGTTCGGGGCAGCTGTTGATGCGCTCACTTAGCTTTTAAATAACAAACTTGTAAAACAGCACTCCTGCGCTAAATTAATTATTTCCAATGCAGCATGTGTGATTAAGCCTGTAAAACAGCTTTGAAAAGGTTTATAAAAATGTTAATGTTGTTTTGGTGTCTAATTGAATATTTTATTACTTTTTTTATTTATTAATGCACTAATATGAAAGGAAAACAGTGTTTTCCATCTAGATACACTGTACGTGATTTTTTTTTTTTTTTTTTTTTTTTTGTGCACACGTATTTACTTGTGGTGTTTTAGAATCTCATTGTCCAGCAGGGTAACATATGACCTCATGCAAAATTAAAAAGCTAAAGATTTTTTTTTTGCAGCAGCAGAAAACAATAACACTGCACTGTGGTTGAACCTGCATTCACGTTCCTTGGGCCTTATACAGGGAAAAACATTGAAAATGTTCTGCTGTGTGGACGTCTCTGAAGATAGAGCTGTTCAAAAGACCCTGAACAAAGAAAATCAAGCAAATTAATTATTAACACACCCACAAAGGACACGCTGTTACATAAAGCTGTCAGGAATAATCCAGTAGCTTTATAAACGCAAAAGGAAAATGCTTTTGCAAATGCGGACATGACTAGAGATGTGAAGTATAGCAAGTAGCCTAGTATACATGCGGAGTATCTTTACATATGCTTTTAAGATTTAGAAAATGCAACTTGTTATGAAATCCTCCATTTGCAATATGCCTTACTGCCAATTCGGGCACATTTTGATAAAGCACTTTTTGTAGCAATCATAAATGATTCCAAAAACAGCTTTTAAAATATTAACATGACCTCTTTCTTGGTGACAGGCTTGATTAAGTAACTAGCATTCATAAGCTGAGCTAATATTTCATTCAGACTTAATCCCGGTGTGAAATGGTTTTATATAAATGACGTTTTATCTGATTCCAAACGTGACATTTGACAAGTGTATTAGCAGCAGGTATTTGAATAGCACAGAAAATGATGAGCCGTGGTGATATTAGCTTTCATCTAGTGGCTGCTTTGAGAGAAGGTTTATGACACAGAGCCATCTGCTGTTCATAATATGCCATTGCAACAATAATACAGCCAAATCATGACATCAACCACAATTTGAACCACACACACATGTTGTTTTTCATGTTTATGAGGACTTCCCATAGACATTATGATTTTCATATAGTACAGACTGTATTCTGTCCTCTTACACCACAGCTAAACCCAACCATCGCAGAAAACATTCTCCTGTTTTACGTTTTCAAAATGATTGATGACTTATAAGCTGCCATAAGATAAAAAATTACATGTATTACTAATGTTTTCAGGACCACACACACACACACACACACACACACACACACACACACACACACACACACACACACACACACACACACACACACACACACACACACACACAAAATCATCCTTCACAACACATGGGGAGATAACAGAAAACTGATAAAGCTAAATATTTTGGTTAATTTTACAGTCTATTGTATATTTTAATGTTAATCAGCTTGTAACAACAGCAGATCTTTGTTAGTGCTAGAAAGAGAGTGTATGGCTATATATGAAGAAATGTTTTAAAAACTGGGGGAAACCAAATGGGTTTGGACTTAAGTATTTAAATATAGACCATTCAGTTTAATTCAGTTACTCAAAGCAGAAACATAGCAAACTGACCAGCAATTGACCAAGAACCCTACATCACAGGAATTAACTGGATGTTGTTTAAAATTTCTATCATAGCCAGTTGGCAAATATAAAACAGCTGTGACTTCACTTACATCTTACCTCTCACACCATCAAAACTGAGTCTATGTCTACACAACAAGAAGAAAAAAATAAAAAATGACATTTATCTTTACTTAAGCTATCAGAGCTGTCCAAACAATTGTTTTGGCATGGATGGCTGACCATTTTGGGTCAACATTTTGGATACCCTCTGTTTACCTTAAATAAACACATTGGTTAAATTTGGTCAAAACCCTTTGTTTTTATTAACTAAATTGACCTCAGTGTGGACAGAAAACTAAAGCAGAGAGAAAATGTATATGATGTTTGGGTCATGTTATTTTGGAAATGTCGGTTTCATAGGCTCTTTGTCTATGAAGGTTAACTCTGCTAACACCTTTGGATCTTAAATGGTGTAATTAAATCAATTTGGTTCTGTTACACTAAGCTTTACAAGATAATCGTTGTCAATGGAATGATAAGGACCAAAATGTTCCTGGATTTCACTGACCTTAAGTCTGCTGGCAGTGGATATGTTCTGGGTAATGTTCTGATGTTCTAGGTTGGATGAATGGAGTCAGTCCGTAGTGCATGGCTTTGCCTGAAACATCAATTTAAATTCCATTGTGTCACTGCAGGTTTGATCAAAACTTTAGGGGGGAAATCTTGAATAAGAAAAAAAAAGAAAGAAAAAAAAAGAGAAATGTAATGAATTCCAAGTATACATTTTACTGAGCAATAGTTATATATTGCCACTTCAGATTTTTTTTATTTCCTCTAACTCCTTCTGCAGTACCTTCAAACCATTTGTTGTTTGGCTGAGACCACCCAGTGGGCCACAGAGGTACTGCAATGTCCGCATTTCTCTAAAAAGTATCAGTTATTACAATATTACTTAAATACGCGTTTAGGTAGTAAACAAGACTGTTTTCCTTCATTTGTTTGATTGGTTATCTTTTTCGCTTCTGTTAGCCCTTGTGAAAGTGCAAAACTGAAATGCGTCTGTTTAGAAGAATAGAAACATTAAATTGTTCCCACATTCATCCACTAGGGGCCACAATAAGCACAATATTGGCAGCTCATAAAAGTGAGCTGTATACAGTACCAAAGGTATCTTTCTTTATATTATACAGTAAATAAAGATAAAATCTGTTTTATGTTACAAAATACAACCTTAATTTTGCTACTTTCTATATTGTTCACTGCAAGGGGACAGCAAAAAGGCAGATAAAAAATAATCCAATTGATGCTGTGTAGGATTGCTTTTTCAAACTCACCTTTTTCAAAGAGGGATTACATTTTTGTTTGAACATTTGAGCCTAGCACCTGGCACCCATTAAATGATGCTGTGCTTCTTTTGAAGCACGCAGAAATGTTGTTGTTTCACCCTGAGTTTAACTTTTATTTTCACTTAACAGTAAGAGGGCTGAGCGCACGCTTTGTTTAACTACTAGTCTTTCAGGATTTTTTTTTTTTTTTTTTTTTTTTAAAGTTGATGACATTTTTAGGTATCTAAAGTCTTGGTTCTGTAGTCTGTTAAGCACATTGTAGTTATATTAGTAGTAGCTTGGATTGCTAAACATGGAGTCAGATGATGATTGTTAATGTGAGTTGGACTACACATGGAAGGATGAATACAAAAAAAAAAAAAAAAAAAAAACACCCAGAAAAAAAGGTAGTTTGGAAAATGTAGTTTTGTGGCTATTAGAGAAGCAAAGGCTGTCATTTTCTGTTGTCTCCCTTTATGTTCATACATTATAAAATCATTTAGTATTGAATAAATAATAAATAGTTAAAATAGTTTTTTAGCCTCCAAAACCTGTTGCATAATCGGTCATTTCGTCTGATGAAAACTCCTGATCTCGTACATAAAGCTTTTATAGAAATAAAAAGAAATAAATACATATTTTATTTGCTTTACTAAATAAACTGATTAAATGCTGTTAACTCTCTTGTACAGTATAAAAATTGTAAACCCACTCACAGTACATACATACTTCCTTATCAGAAAATTGGTCAAACGTGATGCATTTTAAATGCCTGGTTTGAAAAAGCAGAATTTCCAGTAATAAAAGTCCTGTTCTTCGATTTTTGCAGATATACAGACAACAACCTGCGCATCACATGCATCCTGAAGTATAGGGACTCTAGGATTGGAGCACTATCAGGCCCTGCTGGTCAAGTTCTTCCTCCATGAGACTCTTGTAAACGGAGAACTTAGACATGTGAAACAAAGTGTACAAGATTACTTTATATTTGCAGTGTTGGACAAATCAAAGAGGAAGGAGCTGGTTAAATATGCTTATGAGCATTTTAAACCACAAGAAGACATTGTCTGGGGCCCAAAGGAGATTCTGCAAAAGAAAACGTCAAAGAAAGTTGAGAAGGAAAGGGAGAAAACAAATAAGAGCATTTAGGGAGTAAATAAATGGATCTCTGTCCTCCTCCTGAAGGCATAGGTAGCATTTTTTTTTAAATGGTCAACAAAAAGATGATGAAGCAGTTAGTCAAAACAAACTGATGGGAGAAAATATTCAAAGTGATCAGAAGGCAAACAATGATAACAGTCAAAGTTGCTCAAAAAAGGAAGCCATAAAAAGCTAAATCAGGAGTGGGGATGGTGATGAGGATGATGATGATGGTAATGAAATGTCTCATCGTGTTGATTTTCAGAAATGTTCTCCATGAAGAATTTTTGTGTCTGACTCAGAAATTATGGAACAAGATTTTTCTCCAAAACCAAAACTGTATTACAGAAAATAAATATAAACAAAAACCTGAACTTAATGGGTCATTCTTAAAGTTGTATATAGCATTATATAGCATTTTTCTGCATGTTAATTGCATGAAGCTATTTGTTTATGCCAGTGATTCCAAATAAAATGTTTTGTTGCTTACTGTGCATTGGGTTTAGGTTCTAAAAGACCCATAAATTATTTTTGTGTTTATTTTTAATTGTTTGTTTCCATAAAGGTATCATAGATAAAGTTTCAGATTAAAACGTAGCCAGGGACAATGTTTTGCTACTTGCTATTATTGCTAAAAACCAAAAGGACAGGAGTGATTTCAATTTAAATCTAGCTGTTAATTAACGTCATTCAGACTTACGTTTTGTCATGTGGCGTGAAACCTTTGCAGAACATTTGAGCAACACCTGGCAACCCTTAAATAAGCCCTGCATTTCCTTGTTGTTGAACTACGCCAGAAATGCCGTCGGTTCACCGTTTCAACTTTCATTTTCACTTAATGGTGGGAGGGCTTTTTGCTCGATGTACTTAAAGCTGGTAACATTTCTGAGGTGTCTGAAGTCTTGGTTCTTTGGCCTGTTAAGGTTTACACATAATTTGTTTGCTCGTACTTGGTTTCGTCGTATTAATAGTAGTTTGCGGTCTACTAAACATATTAGTATGGAGTCAGATGATGATTGCGACTGCGAGTTGGACTCCACATGGGAAGATGAAGATGAAAACAAAACACCCAATGAGAAGGTTTTTTATAACTACTTTTTCCAACAACAGTGTTAACATTTCTTGGTTATACTGTTTATTTATTTTGTTTAAGTTGTTTAATGCTTCTATTCTTCCAATATCTCTATTGAAAACAACAAGGTCTCACTTGGAATTTTCGTTTACTTTGTATATTTAGCTCAAGAAGAGTCGCAGGAACATGTATGCAGCCAAGGACATGCAAGACTTCCGGCATCGTTGCCTGGTGAGTTTCATTAACTTGTATAAGATAAGATATACCTATGTGAGAGAGAGTAAGAGCCACTTTTAAACTCTTCACTAGGCAAGAAGAGCTAGAGTTAAAGAGTACAGCCATAAATATGCCTGTTTAAAAAGAAAGCTTCTGAACACATGACATGATGAAGTATCTCACTGACATGTCTTTCTCCACTTTCTTTTCTGTCAAATAAACATGCCAGCTCACATTGGTCCACTGACGTGTGTGGGAAAAATTACAGATTTGTTTGTTTGTTTGTCTCTAGGAACTAGATGATGACTATGAGGAGGATTATACCATGGAAAAAGAAGATGATGCATTTCAGATTGTCAGAATTTGCTATTTACAATGTTTATAAACCATATTTTAAAGTATAATTTACCTGCATCTCTGGTGTAATGCTAGATTTGATTTGTATGAAATGCTTGAGAAATTGTTGCATTTATTTATATATATATATGTGTGTGTGTGTGTGTGTGTGTGGGTATATATTGTTGTTGTCATCCCCTAGAATCCCCTATATCATCTGAAGTTTTACAGAGGTGAAATAAAAGCTGCGCCAGTCGGTATGACATTACATTCTTCATACACTGTATTTGAGTAACACTTTTGTCCAATACAAGAGTCATTATAGGAAGCCAGGTTTTTAACATAATACCGTTATTTGTGCAGCTATTCACATTGATGGTTTTCACAAAGACTGGTGGGGTCAATATGATTTGCTTGAAAAGGCTCACTACTACATTCAATGGTAAGTTTCACTTAATCCATTTAAATGTATTTAAATTTTAATTGTACATATTTTTATGTATGTAATCAAACATATCAAAACTTTACAGGCTATTTCCAATACAAAGGAAAGTTAACAACTGGAGAATACATTGTCTCAGAAAAAAGGAAATTATGGTCAGTTTCAAACATTTTATTCGGTGGTATCCAAGCATAATTTCTCAATATTTGGAGGAAATATTAGTTTAAGTTAAAAAAATTTAAAATCACCTCTTGCTTTCCAGCTATTCCGCAGAGATGAGGATGTAAAACATAAGCTGATCAAATCATATAAAGTCATGTTGGATTTCTATGGAATACGTTTGGCTGATGAAAAAACAGGAAAGGTGGAACGTGCCGAGAATTGGAAGCAACGCTTTAACAACTTGAACAGGTTTATTTTGTCATATTTATCCTGTAAAATGCATTTGCTGTTTAGACCTGGTATTAATATGCATTTTCACCAATCACTACAGGTTTAGACAGTGACTGAAAGTTTTAAGCTTGTCCACTTTCCACCACTTCCATATGCATGATGCATATGAAGTCAAATCTATTCAAACTGCTTTAAGCAACCACCTTAACTTTGCCTACTGACCTTGTTGTTTAAGTACTGGCCTGACGTAATTAAACTTTTACATTGGTAATCATAAGTTTGTATTGGAGGTGAAAAATGTAAAGTAGATGTCGTTATTTTACCAGCCACAATTTTAACACAAGCCCACAATGTTCAGCATGCAGTTTTGTGGCTGTTAAAGCAGGGAAAAAAGCTAAAATTTTCAGTTGTCTTCATTTATTTCCATTCTTTCATTTTCTTTTCGGCTTAGTCCCTTTATTAATCTGGGGTTGCCTCAACAGAATGAACCGCCTTATGTTCATGCATTAGAAAATCATTAAGTATCGATATTATAATAATAATAATAATAAATGCCTAAATTCAACCGTTAACAAATATTTCATTTAATTTTGCAATGTAACATATTTATTCTATTTAAACAACAACTCTCATGTAGCAGTGTTGCACTTCTTTCATAAGATACAGTTTGTTTAATTTACATTTATAATTTTGTATAATCATATTTATGTACTGATAATAGTTATATTCTATGCAAAGCAACATACAGGGACGGAATTTTAACCACCACCAGCGTCATTGCGTCTGATTATTATTTTTTTTGAATAAATATTTTATTCATAAAGACACAGTAGAATTATTTAAATGTTCTGAAACAGGTGCCTTTTTAAAAGAAGACAACAATGTTATACATATTAAAAATGTAAAACGAAATGAATTTAGCATTAGGAAGTCAACATAAATAGAGAAATAAATATCTTTTTTACTCAGTGCATTTAACATTTTTGTAGAATAAAAAAAAGTTCCAGGTTATGTTGCTGTATTAGAAGGATCAGACAGTACTGTACATGCACTAGGGTTGGAAGAAAAGAATATTAAATTTCACAATTGGATTGTGACCCCCAGAATCGAAATTAGATTGGATCATTAAGTCCTTAAAGATTTCCTCCCCTAACATACACCTGGCCACAATACATACTACCTCATCAGAAAAGTGGACAAAAGTGATGCATTTAAAAGCCTGGTGTGAAAAGCAGTTTGACTCCTAGACTCAATCTGGGCCTCAGAATTTTCAGTAATAAAAGTTCTGTTCTTTGATTTTTGCAGAAATACTCACAACAACCTGCGCATCACACGCATCCTGAAGTGTTTGGGGACTTTAGGATTGGAGCACTATCAGGCACCACTTGTCAAGTTTTTCCTCCATGAGACTTTGTTTCAAGGACAACTTAAGAATGTCAAACAAAGTGTACTAGATTACTTTATGTTTGCAGTTTTGGACAAATCAAAGAGGAGGGAACTGATTAGATATGCTTATTTGTATTTCAAACCCAGAAAAGACTTTGTCTGGGGCTCAAAGAAGATTCTGAAAGTGAAAACTTATCCTTGGGACTGCCATCATGAAATGACCAAAATACATGCCAGTCTTCCACCTGAAGAGATGGGAAGTGACAATAAAAATGATGACCAGAAAGATGATGCAGTTAGTCAAAACAGACTGAAGGGAGAATGTTCAAAGTCATCAAAGGGAAACTAATGGGAACAGTCAAAGTAGCTCAAATGGTGACCAGATAGTCCAGAGAAGATGAATGAAGAGAGTGAGTCAAATGATAAGAACAGTCTGTACAGCTTAGGCAATGAATGTGTAAAAGAGCAAAACCAAAAGAGTAGTGCTGATGGTAATAATGAAGTCCACATGACACCACAAAATAAACCTAATGGTAATTCTGATGAAAGTAATCTAGCTGAAATTAGGAAAACTAATGAAAATGACATGCTAGACAACCCTGAAGTTGAAATGAAAGAAGATGGCATGTCTCATGGTGATAATGGTAACAATGCTGAAAAAGAGAGGCCAGGGAGTCCATGCAAGTTGACCGAACAAACTAATAGTCAGGATAAGAGGTCAAATGTTGAGACAAATGATGAAGATGAAAGTAATCTAAATAATACAGCGTATACTAAAGAAATGTCAGCAGAACATGAGCAGGGATCAAATAATGAAAACAGTCAGTGCAACTCAGAAAATGAAACTGTACAAGACCAAAATCAAGAGATGAGTGCTGATGGTGTTGGTGATGAGTAGTGAAAGTTTGTCCATGAAGGGTGTACTTGTCTGACATGGAAAAAAAGGAAACTGACAACAGAAAGTATCAAGGCCTTTAATGTTTTTTTTTTTTTTTGGTTGTTCCCCAAAATAAATTACATGAAATATATTGAAACGCCTGTATGCCTGGGCTCAAATTCAACTCTTTGAGATGCATTGCTTTGTTTTGTTTATTTAACAGATTGACTAATGGAGATTAAAAATAGCATGCAAAAGCTAAATTTGCACTGTAACAAATGTAATGTTATTATTTTTTTTGTTTTATTTTTTGTGAAGTGTTCTAATAAGTTTGTCTTGAACTTGATTGTTTAATAAGAAATGAAGTTCTGATTAACCAAGTGATGATTGATGCAAATAAAAATTGTATTGATAAAGCAAGATCACACTTTGAAAACTGGCTCCAATAATTGTTAGATTTGTATGCTTTCTTTTGTAATGGATGAACCTGTTGAAGTTTGTAAAACGATGCAGTTTTGTTTTGGGTTTTTGCTGGTGACCAAATAAATGTCATATCACTGAATGATGTGTTTTGTATATCACTGTGCTTGTAAGCATTGAACATATTTCTATGTTTTCTGTCACATCACTGATATCTACAAAATATAAAGGTTTTTTAAAATAAATTACTTTAGATTATATTGAATGTGCTATTACATCATAGCACACTAAAAACAATGCACACTATGCATATTTAATGGTAGGCCGATTTAAATAGCAGTTATGGGTCATTTATTAAATGAGGCATAATTTTAAGCAATATTTCCTAAAATTTTAATTTGATGTTTTATGTTATTAGAATCAAATACAGACCACCCAACCGTTTCTGTTTTATAAAGATAAATCGAATATTCTCTGTAAGATTGTTTTTAAAGTATTACCAGCAAAAAATATGACTATTGAAATACCTGGCAAGCCTTGACCCAGCTGATGTTTTTGTTGACTTCTGCATCAGAAATACTTTCGCTTCACCATGATTTTCAACTTAAATTTTCACTAGCCAGCGAGAAGGTCGAGGACTTCAACAAGTCTGAGTTCTTATGTCTGCTATATGGCAGTTTATAAGACGTTTACTGAGTTACCAAGCTAGTCCTACAAACGATACTACTTTTGAAATGGAGTTAAGTCAAGACTCGGATGGTGAGTGCGAACTGGACTCCACATGGGAAGATGAACACGAAAATAAAACACCCAGCAAGAAGGTATCAGAATTCAGTGCCGTGTTATTATGTCTTCATTATTCTTACAAATATTTTCCTGTAGGTCCAATATGAATAAAGTATATCACTTCCAAAAACCAGTAGCTCCTCTCTCTCTCTCTCTCTCTCTGCACGAGGTGAAGGAGTGGTGTGGGGTGTGAGAGCAACACGCTGAACTGGTTTCAGGGTTAATCTTTTTTGTTTTCTTTTTTTTTCTCCCTCCCCCCCCCCCCCCCCCCCCCTTTATCCTTTTTCTTCTTTTTTAGAATATTTATTTTTGTATTATTGATTCATTTGTTTGGTTTAAACTAATACCAGCGATCCCCTCTATGATAAGGGAAACCATGGCGTTTCTCTCAGGAGAGGGAACACCTGGTTTCTCTATCAAGAATGGATGCAAAGTTTATTCGGACCAAGTTTTTACAGTTGAAGAAGTGCTTTTGGCAATGGGAGAAATAGTTGAGCATGAAAATATAGTATCTGCCTCAAGAATGAATAAGGCTGTGGTAGTGTTTCTTAAAGATGAGAAACACGTTAATGATCTCGTGGAAAACGGAATTGTTGTTAACGACACGCTAGTACAAGTAGTGCCCTTGCGTACACTGGCTACTAAAGTAACAATCTCAAACATGCCTCCATTCATTCCCAATGAGCAAATTCTTAAGGAGTTGAATCGTTTTGGTAAGTTTGCGGGTTCTGTCAAAATGGTTCAGTTTGGGTGCAAAAACGTCGCTTTAAAACATGTGCTGTCTTTCCGTAGGCATGTATTCATGTTTTTAAATGCACAGTCTAAGACTTTAGACATTTCGTTCCGTATTCAACACGGGGACAGTTCTTATATGGTTTATGCAACAACAGAGAGTTTGCGGTGTTTCGAGTGCGGGGATTTGGGGCACAAAAAGCTCAAATGCACTCATAAGAAACAATTAGAAAATGAAAAAAATGACGGAATGAATAAAGAGCGCAATGATCAAAGCAACAGCAGTCAAAACAAAGAGAAGCGACCTACAGCGGTGAAAGACGTAGTGATTCCGGGAAAAAAAACAGAAAACAACCGGCATTAATGGTAACAGTTCAGGGATGCTAGATGAACCCAGCGTTGTTTCAGAAGTTGGTTTTACAACCGAGCAAAGTGCCGAAGGCTCAAGTTCAACGTTAGAGGTAAGTGCGTTTACTTCAACTCTGAGTGCTGGTGATAATGCTGTAAGCCCGTCTGTTTTGAAGGAAAATACGGCTGTTGATAAGGAAAATGATGGTGTTGGTGGCAATGTAGTTTTAAAAGAGAGTTGTTTAGAGTCGGAGGTGATTGCAGAGAATGAAAATAGTGATGAAAATATGGAGGACTGCGATGATAACTGTTCAGAGTTTTCGGAAATTGAGTGTAGTCAGTCGTTGGATGATGTGTATTCGGTAGAAGAATTGAATGCTTTTTTAGATTCAACTAAAGGAAAAAAGACTGACATAGTTAAGCACTTTCCCGATAGCAATACATTTATTAAATCGGTGCTGATTGCTCAGAAGAATGTGGGCTATGAGGTACTTTCAAAACAAAAATGATTCCGATTGAGTAAGTTTGTAACAACGTTACGCAAAGCTCAAGAAGAACAAGGAAGAGTGTCAAAACGAAAAAAGTAAATCACATGGGAGAGGGATCTATTTTTATTTTTGTTTTACTTACCTGTTATTTCCTGTTTTCCCTTTCTATCTTCCCTGCAATGCAGATTCTTAAAGTAGGATCATTAAACAATGGGATGAGGGATGGGAGTAAAAGAGCTTTACTTGTTGAATTTCTTAAACTTAAAGAAACCCATGTAACTTTTTTACAAGAAACACATAGTGATCAAAAGAATGAATCTGAGATTAAGTTATGGTGGGAAGGAAAAACTGTATTTAGTCATGGTACAAATATCAGCGCAGGGGTAGCTATTTTGTTCTCAAAGTACTTAAATATAAATATTATATCAGAAGTAGAAATAGAGAAAGGACGTATTATGTTGGTAAAAGCTAAAGTAAACAATCAACTCTTTGAATTTATAAATATCTATGCTCCCAATAAATGCTCAGAAAAATTAGCAGTATTTAAGAAATTAAAAGATTTTTTAAATAGTTATACTTTGGAAGGATTTCTAATTGTGGGAGGAGATTGGAATTGCACTCTTAATTTTCTTTTAGATAGAAACAATCAAGAACCACATCCTGCATCGGCATCTTTTTTTAAAAAGTTTCATAATTCAGAATGATTTGATAGATGTGTGGCGAGACCAAAATGCGGAAATAAAACACTATACATGGACTAAAATAAATCTGGGAATGATTAGTGTAGCAAGACTTGATCGGTTTTATGTAAAGTGTAGTGATAAAAACAGAGTAAGTGGGTGCAATATCTTTCCCTGTTGTTTATCAGACCATAATTTAATTACAGTCAGTATTGTTTTAACACAATCTAATTTTAAAAGCCCTTATTGGAAATTGAATACTGCTTTATTGAAAGAAAAACAGTTTTATGAAAAATTCAAATTATTTTGGGAGGAGTTGAGTTTTAGGAAAAAAGATTTTAAAAATTTATTACAATGGTGGGAGTTAGAAAAGATTCAAATAAAAATTTTCTGTCAACAATATACATGGTTTTCAACAAGAAAAATAAAACAAAAAATTTCGGAAATAGAGCATGAAATCTGTCATATTACGTCTGGCATGATACAGCATTCTGATTCATCTTCAGCAGTCTTTTTAAGTAAAAAAAATCAAGATTTAAAATCATTATTGCAAGTGCGGGCCAAAGGTGCTTTGATAAGATCTCGGTTTATGTCATTGCACGAGATGGATGCTCCTACTTCTTATTTTTTTAATTTAGAAAAAGTGTCAAAAAAACAAAATGAAATGTACTGTTTGAAGACCCCTGAAGGACTAAAGACTTTTGATCCAGAAAAAATGAGAAAGATTGCAGTGGATTTTTATTCAGACTTCTACAAGAAGGAAGAAACTAATATTGAGTGCATGTCACAAATAATGGAGAAAATCCCTACTCTTACTGAAACACAGCGCAAGTTTTTGGACAGTGCTATACCATATCAAGAATTAATGGATGCAGTAAAACAGATGAAGACGGGTCGAGCCCCGGGAATTAATGGACTGTCTATTGATTTTTACAAGTCTATGTGGAATATTATTGGAAATGATTTTTATGAAGTGATTCAAGAATGTTTTAAAGAAAAAAGTCTTCCTACAAGTTGTCAAAGAGCTGTCTTAACACTTTTGCCAAAAAAGGGGGATTTGAGTGATCTTAAAAACTGGAGGCCTGTGTCTGTTTTAACTACTGATTATAAGTTAATGGCCAAAGTGTTGGCTAATAGGTTAAAGACTGTACTTGGGGATTTAATACACCCAGATCAATCCTATTGTATCCCAGATAGAACAATTTATGACAACATTTTCATGGTAAGAGACATTTTAGATTATTCTAAACTAAATGATGTGAATGTTGGTTTTTTGTTTTTAAGAGAAAGAGAAAGCATTCGATAGAGTGGACCATGGTTTTTTATTTGAAACTATGAGAGCTTTTGGTTTTGGAAATGTTTTTATTTCTTGGATCAAACTTTTATACACAAATGCTTCATGTGTTTTAAAAATAGGTGGTAGCTTAAGTAAACCAGTAAGAATACTTAAAGGCATAAGACAAGGATGCCCTTTATCAGGCCAGCTTTATGCTTTGGCAGTAGAACCATTACTGTGTTTATTAAGAGAAAATTTGTCTGATTTTAAACTTGATGCTATATGCAATTCAGTTAAAGTAATAGCTTATGTAGATGACATCGCTATTTTAGTAAAAAATCAAAAAGATGTTGATGTTGTTAAAACAGCATCTCTTTATTTGAGAGGGCTTCATCTGCAAAGTTAAATTGGATTAAAACAGAGGATTTTTGGTGCAATGAAAAAAGTACAATGAGGTTACCTGTTATTCCTGAAAATGGAAAATGGAAAAAACATGGTTTTAAGTATTTAGGTATTTTTTTGGGATCCGAATCGTATCAAAGAAATAATTGGGAAAATGTTAAAGAAAAAGTGTGTAATAGATTATCAAAATGGAATTGGATTTTACCACAACTTTCGTATAGGGGTAGAGTACTGGTTATAAATAACCTTGCTGCATCTGTTCTATGGCATAAATTAATTGTGTTAAATCCACCAGATGGTTTTATTAGAGAAATTCAAAAAGTGTTCATAGATTTTTTCTGGAATGGAAACCATTGGCTAAAAGAGACAATATTGTATCTACAATTAAATGAGGGTGGTCAAGGCCTCATGGACATTAAGTCCAAAGTAG